CCTGTTAAGGGTTTTCGGCACATTGTGCTTACTTCCTTGCGTACGGATGACAGCTGCGTATGAATAAATTTACTTTCTGGGTGCTTTCACTTCCAGAGACAGTTGAAAGCACTGTGTAGCTGCCTCGAGGGTGCTTGACCATTTCAACGTGGTGCGATCATCCCCGTTGCGCGGAGCGAGTGTTTTCCACCCCGCACAACATGATCTACTCGACCACCATTATGGTTACCGCCAAAAAAAAAACCGGAGGTAAAAAAAAAAAACGGTAACCTGGTTGCCGAGTTCACGAAGTGAATTGGCTTGTTTTACAACGTCGTTGCCAAGCGACGAAAACCCAACCCCGATGGCAAACACCGGGGGGGAACCGGGGGGGGGGGAACTGTTTTCTCCGCCTTGCCGTCCATGCTGCTGGTGATGTAGTGACTCCCTCAGCGATTCAGACTGCCAAGTCCAACAAGCACGACGTAGACTATGCACGATGTTCGCGCCAACAAAATACGTCACCTAAACGTTAGTGCCGCCGTACTACAACACAGAGCTTGTTCGTAAACGTTTTAGTAGAGCTTTGCAGCGTACAGACAGCATTATCGTCAAGTGCCCGAGAACGCGCAGGCGTTCGATCGACTCTTCAAGCTATATTTGTTCCACAGCCAAGCGGCTGCCGATACCGAAACTCATGCTTAGGCAAAACGTTTCGTCGAGCGCTGTCTTTCCATGCACTTAAAAGTCGGGTTTCCCCGCACCGTCTTGCTTGTGGAGCGAACGATCTTAAAAAATCGATCGCACGGCTGTCTGTGCGTCCGCCCGCACTCAACGGTATAAACTCAGTCTGGCCTACCGATCAACACCTAAAGCAGTACCTGCGTGTGGACAGGCCCAGGACAAGCGACATTACACCCCCGATCGCGCTGTAGAAGTCCACCGTCTGCACCCCCTTGTTCAGGGCAATTCTGTAGGCTCTATGAGAGACGTCACACACGATGATAACGAAGAGGTGGAGGGGGATCAGCCTGTACTGACCCTCCGTACAATAATGCATGCCTGTTGATAAGATGGGGACAGGCAACCCCTCGCTATTGCGAACGATCAAGCAGAGGTCAGGCCCTGATCTCTTTAGACCAAAATGTAAGTACCTTGGCACCCGCAAGACGAAAAAAAAACCAGCTGCAACAGCAGTCCGGTGACCAACTGGCATACTTGTACAGTTTTTTTTTTATCTTCACTTCAAATCAGCGCTCACAGCACTAGTGCCGTTTACTCCAACCCGTGGTCGCACAGAAGAGCTTCCCTCTCTACCCTCCCCTCCTGCGGTACATTGCCTTCGATTTTTAATGCGAGAGGAGTTGAGCACTCTTTTCCCTCTGTGTACACACGAACTAGCGCTATCCACTAGGTCGGGAGCGGAAGCGAGAGAAAAACTCACGTGCTCGCTTGCGCCGGGATTCGAACCCTTGACCTCTAGAAGGTTTCGAAGATACCAACTAGACCACCGGGACAATAGAAGATCGTGGTACAAGCATTAAAAAGAACCAAAAATGTCAAGGCAGCAGCAGTTTCGCCCGCACCGATCTTCCAATCCATCGAGGTCGACGGCCTGCATCTTGATGTACATCATGGGTAGGGTCATTACGATACCGGCCGCGCCCCCAAGGCCAGCGAAGCGTGGCCACTGCTTGAGCACCAGAGATGAGACGCTCCGACTGGATTTTGGAAGAAGGGGGAGCCATCGTGCGTAACAGGAGGGGGTGAGAGGAGGGACGACCGCTGTTGAGGGTCCGGGGCAACGTAGGCGAATGTGTTGGGAACACAAAGATGGGCAGGCGTCGGGTGCCGGTGAAATTCACGCGCTCGTATATCAAGAGCTACTGAATGTGGAGTTAGTTTTCTACAGTCGGCAGTGACATCAGCAAGATCAGATGGATGCACTGCCGGACAGGCTTCGTTGTTGATAACCACACGTGAGACACTAGTCCATAGTCTAGCCTAGCACCAACCGAATGACGTGTCTTGTCTGAGCAATGATCCACAGCACGAATGCGCCTCGAAAAATATGAAGATTGCAACCAAACGCAACCCCCCTTGGAACGGTGTGATCTATCCCCCAGAATGGCGACATCATTCGCGAAATTTCAATTATCGATCTTCGAAACTCGCTATGTGGCACATCAGCTGCAGCAATCAAGCAATCAAAGCAGAGCGCTCGGCAGGAACGGGGACGGGGTGAGTCTGCTGTCGAAACTTGGACGCAGATCGACAGACACACAGACAGGCACACAAACAGACGCATAATATTTAGAAAACAGGAAGAGGGATAGACAGGCAGAGGGATAGACGGAGTCTCACTCTGGGGACGTGAGCCACACGCCCAAGGAAGCAACGGAGCCGACAGTGCTCCAAAGCTACCGCCGCAGCCATATACAATAGTTAGCAAAGGCGGACACACACGCGGATGGGCGGCGAGAGGGTGAGTAGGGAGGGCGCAGCAAAGGGTGTCACACAGACTACGCGTGATTTGGGTCAATATCGTTGTCAAGGAATGCGACTTTGCCCGTCTACATCATTACATGTATGTATAAATTGCATAGGAGCACAACATCAATGGCGTATGCATGACTACCAGCGCAAGGACAATCGGACTGGTCGACGACTCCCGACGAAATAGAGCCAGTGAAGAGGCAGGACATTATTGAAAATGGGAATTGGTAATGATTGTGCTCATTTTAGTTTTTTTTTCTCCCATCATTGGACGCTGTTGTCTGCCCCTCTGGCCCTTAACCTCCACTTCTACTAGCTAGACGACCCAACCGGAGTCACAAAGGAGGGGGAGGTTGGGCACCCTCCTGCGGTTCCTGCCTGAGATATTTTCATCGCGAGAAGGGTACAGCAATCCCTTCCCTCGCGGCTTATGAAGTCGATGATGTTTTACTAACAACGAGCTTTGCAGCGCGTCGCTTTCATCCTAGACCAGGATATATTTAGTGAGAAAAAACCCTCGCTGCCAGGACTCGAACCCATGACCTGGCCCTTAGCAGGCTGCGAGGGTACCACACTAGACCACCTGGGCGACCGGGTATAGTTGTGAAAGGGTGGGAAAAAATGCAAGGAAGCACATTGGTAAGCAACAGGGATCGAACCCCCGGAGAGACCTACAGATAGCGCCCGTACTTAAGAACTTAGCAGTTAAGAAATCGAGACTCGCAAAAAAACAGAAGCTAAGAACTTGAGCACCATTTGTGAGCTCGGNCCTCGCTGCCAGGACTCGAACCCATGACCTGGCCCTTAGCAGGCTGCGAGGGTACCACACTAGACCACCTGGGCGACCGGGTATAGTTGTGAAAGGGTGGGAAAAAATGCAAGGAAGCACATTGGTAAGCAACAGGGATCGAACCCCCGGAGAGACCTACAGATAGCGCCCGTACTTAAGAACTTAGCAGTTAAGAAATCGAGACTCGCAAAAAAACAGAAGCTAAGAACTTGAGCACCATTTGTGAGCTCGGTTAAGAACCACACACTAAAACCTATAAGCGACCATTTGTTGCCCACAAGAGGATGATCAGCAAAGTAAGGACCCCAGCTTCGGCCGAAACTAGAGGTTCGAAAGCGCGGGTACCATCTGTATGCAACTTCCACAACTGGACGATAGCACTACCGCAGGAGGGGGTCCAACCCCTCCCCTCCTATGTGACCCCGGTTGGGTCGTCTAGCTGGTAGAAGTGGAGGATGGGGGCCAGAGGGACAGACGATAGAGTCCAATAATGGGAGAAAAAAAAAAAACTTCTTCATGGTCGTCCAACCTGCACATTCTTGAGGAGAACATGGGAGGTAAGGGCGAGGCCGGGGTACTCCGGCATATCCTTCGCGACGGACTCATCGTACTTGGAGCGGTCAGCGCGCTTGTTCAGATCTGCGAGGGGCATGCTAGTGTCTGCTGTTGATGGATTTGGCTGTGTCTGGCAAGTGCAGTGGTCAGCTGGCTCTGGTCATGCATGTATAAGCGTGTGTCTTATCGGCAAAATCGAAATAATCAGAATCGAGTTTCAGTTTAAGACTAGAAAGCGCCAGCGTCGATCATCTATAGATTGGTTGGAATGCGTTCTTTCGGGATAAGCCAAGGAATCGTCCTGTTCTTAAACTTGATATCGAAAAAATGGACAGAGGATCGATTTGGAGTCCACCGTGCCAAACGCAACCAACTTCGGGTGGACGTTGGGCTGTTGGGAGCGTGCTGCGGCGGTTGACGTTTTTCATCTCGCTGCGCGCCCACGTGCGCGCGGATTGCACACGCTACACCACGCACGCCGACCAAGCTAGCAGAAAGATGATGTCAAAGAAGGCGAACGACGACCGTAGCTTCAATAAACTTGTTGCCGGTTTGCCAAGGGCGTGCGCCGAGCAACGGAGTCGGGATTCATGTGCCACATGTGCCACCGGTGCCATGGGTGCGTTGGGGTCCATCACCAGCTCCAGGAGCTGCCTCATACGCTTCTTCGTTTTCCTCGCTGCCACGAGCGACTGCGCGCTCGGCGGGGAGGAGAGCGAGCCATGATTGTGCGAGTGCTGTGCAAAAGGACAAACCGTCGCCCGCAGGTCGCCCAAGCCGCTTGTCGGGACTGTTGGGCTGTTCGGCATCCGTTCGGGATTGTTCTCGATTCGAACCTCAGTTTTGCTGATATTTCGATAAGACGCGTGGGTCGAATTTGGCTGGCTCTTCCTAGACGTAAACCGAAACTCGATTCTGATTTTTAGGTTCGATTCTGCCGATATGAGCTCCCTGCTCCTTCGTCTGGTGGCGCGTCGTGCGGCAAATTCTTGGTGTTAGTATAATTCCGCACCGGAAGGCCGCGCAAAGTAATACGAAACCTTATTTCGCGCGCGGCGCTGCGCGCGCAACAAAACAAAGGACTAGAGCAAAATAGTCTAGATACGGCACCAATCAACGGGGCGGGAGGGGGGCGGGAGGAAACGGCGCGGGAAGAAAGCAAGCGAGAAGAGACCGACCGCGTGACGTGACATGTTGCGGTTAAATTTCAGCGACTAGTTTTTCTGTTGCCCTCTCCCCCGTTTGTTTGCTGTCGCGTTCAGACTGTCTCTACGGATATCCCTGTCTCTGTGCGAGTTTGTTTGTGCCCTCGTCTGTCTTTGGTTTATTTCGTTTTTGTTTTGTTTTTTTTCTGGCACGTACTGTTACTTCTTTCCCTCGCTCCTCGACAAGCTTTTGCTTAGACATGGGTTGTAGTGAAGGGGGGGGTCTTTCTGGCGAGCAGGGCTAGACTCACCCTCAAGGGATGACCGAAACCTTCTTGCTGCTGCGCATA